ACTCCAATTATGCATATATTTTACCATTTGAAATTGTTCAGCAGTTTTTCAATATTATCATTCATTTTTTCCTTTTGTTTTTAAAATACATTGTTTTTGTTTTGTGTTTCGTGTCAGGAAGTTTTTATTCACTAATACTCAAGGTCCTTGATTCTTTTCTTGGCTGTGTACAATCTAATGATGAGCCTATCAAGTGCATTCATCATGCATGTTATAGTATTTTTATTTCTAGATTTACTTTTGAGTATTTCTTAGAGTTCCTATCTCTCTACTTATGCTTGCATGTATATATTCTAGTATGCCTCATAATTTTTTTAAAGGTAGACATGATATACTGGGTAATCCTGAGATAACGGATGTTTAATGTAGGTTTTATGTTAATCTGGCTAGCAGTTGGGTTTCATTTAATGTTTGCTATAGCTGTAGATGCCAAGAGCTTTAAAATCCACTAGTGTCTTTTGTTTGTTTGTTTGTCTTGTTGTTTTTCCCCCCTTACTTAAGACAAGAAGGCTACAAGAGGGTGGAGTCAGGAAAAAGCTCTTTCCTCATGTAAGATAATGCTCCAATAAGATCTTTTTTCACTGAGAAGTAAGCATTTCAAAATGGTTACTTTCCCACTTATGTCAGAAACACGAGATTATTCTTTTGTTCTTTGTTGTGAGCATCTTGCATGGTTCCTGAAGGTAAAAACCCATGAAAGTGGAGGGAGGGGACACAAAAAAACTGCAGTTCTTATTTGATTCTTACAATTAAATTCCAGTTTACAGTTCTGACAAATAAAGAGCTTGAAATTGTCATTCCTGTCCTTTCAATAAGAAAATAAACTGAATAAACTGGAAATCAATGGCTGTTCTTATATCCATCCAATAATGGAGGTTGCAGGGCAAACTACCACTCTGAAACCTGGAGAGACAATACAATACAAGAATCATAGTCAAGATCAGATTACACATACAGATTATAGCCACTTATTAAAATTACTCTTGTGAGCTCCTGGGTGGCTCAGTCCGTTAAGCATCTGCCTTCAGCTCAGGTCATGATCACAGGGTCATGGGATCCAGTGCTGAGTCAGGCTCTTTGCTCAGCAGAAGTCTGCTTCTCCCTCTGCCCCTCTCCCTCCCCCTGCTTATGTTCTCTCTCTCTCTTTCTCAAATGAATAAGTACATAAATAAAATATTTTTAAAACGTTTACAAAATTACTACTGAAGTGTTCTTACCCATTTATGGTTCTGCTACAGGTAAGCTGATCTTGACTCTGGTTCTTGTCTCTTCAGGTTTCAGAGTGGTGGTTTGCCCTGCAACCTCCATTATTAGATATAAGAACAGCCATTAATTTTCTATTTGTTCAGATTTTTTCTTATTGTAAGGACAGGAATGACAATTTTAAGCTCTTTGTCAGAACTGTAAACTGGAAAATATCTCTAAATTAATTTGAACCAACATGGAATATTAGTTTGAAGGATTACCAAATTATTAATATATTTTAGTGTTCCCACATGTCTCAACCAACCCTGCATAGGAATATGGCAATTTAAACCCGAATCTCATATTAAATGCAGCCACTGAAATGAAAATAATTCTCATAAAGTCTGTGAGATAGAGGAGAAATACTAAATAATAAATTTTGAAAATAAATTTGTGTATATTGACCAAAATAGTACAATTGAAAGCAACTGTATAACAACAATACAAGCATTTGAAAGAAAAGATTTAGAACACAATATCTACAATAGACACTATGAATAAGAGGTTGATTCTATTCGAAACTTTCATCTAAGATTTTAAACAAAGCCTTTTGGCTTTCAAAATGAAGTCTCATTCAAAGCAAAAGCTATATATGCACCTCATATGTTTATTTCAGCAGTATTTAAAATAACCAAATTATGGAGGCAGCCCGTGTCCGTTGATAGATGAGTGGGGATAGATGAGTGGGGAATTGTGTATATATATACACATATATATACACAATATATATATCAATAAATACACTTTATACATACAAAAATGTATATATACACACACACATACACGCTGGAATATCATTCAGTCACAAAACAGAATGAAATCTTGCCATCTGCAACAACATGAATGGATCTAGAGAGTATAATGCTAAGTGAAATAAGTCAGAGGAAGACAAATAGCATATAATTTTACTCATATGTGGAATTTAAGAAACAAAACAAATGAACAAAGGGAAAAAAAAAGACAAACCAAAAACAAGACTCTTAACTATAGAGAACAAAAATAGATGGTTACCAAAGAGGAGGTGGGTAAGGGGGTAGGTGCAACAGGTGATGGGGATTAACAGCATACATATCTTGATGAGCACTGAATAATGCATGGAACTGTTGGATACTATATTGTATGCAGGAAACTAATATAACACTCTAACTACACGAGAATTAAGATAAAATAAAAATAAAAACTGATTGGCACCTCCTCCCCCCTAAAAAAAAGCAGAAACTCTGAACTAATGGCTCCAACACATAATTAGGCTAGAACATACACTGTTTGACATACACTGCTAGAAAAAAATGAATGGCTTGCTGACTTTAATGGTTCAATAATTTCTCTAGAAAATCTAGATGCTCCGGAAACACTTGGCTGATGTTGCCCCCATAAACCTCTGCAAGAACAGAGACTTACCTCCTCCCATTTGCCACAGATGTCTCCAGATCATCTCACTTGTTTCTGTAGCTGAGCATTTCAGGCATCCAAATTTGTCTTCTAAACCAAGTATTAGAAGCTGGGATTGAAAAACAAACAAAACAAAACAAAAAAAAAAAAAAAAAAAAAACCCTACTCGGTCTTTTATAGAATCTGAAGTTCAGATTGAAAGTCAGAATATTATATTCATCACAAATCCATTCAATGCACTTTTCCCATGGATGGTTTGTAGTAGTAATTAATTAGTCAATAAAACAGTACACATGAAGGTATTTACATCATATTTTGGATCTTTGTAGTTTTGGATTTTTGAAAATAGCCACCTTTTCCAAATTATCTGCATATCTTCTTTTTTGTTCTGTGTCAATTTACTCCATTTTGCAAAATGTCTGACCTCTTTACTGAGTCCATTTTGTAGAATTGAGATTATAATTCAAGACAAGGTTATTACTGCCACTCTGTGGTTTATTTTGGAAGTACTTAAGAAGAAAACATTAGAGATTGGTATCTTAAGGTCATTTACATAACCTTGACATTTTGCCTAGGCTTAATAACCCATAGCCACTGATATACTTTTCTTCAAGGATAACATCCAGTTAATATTTTTTCTTTCTTTCTTTCTTTTTTCTAATCTACATCCTGTGTGGTTGCATGGGAAACATACACACAAACACACACACAGAAATATATATGTATGCGTACATACAAAATCTATATGTCTGTATATGTATACATAAAGCTAAATATATGTGTATACACATAGGCATACAATATATGTATATGTACTGCATTTTCCTTATTTATGAAACTGATTCATATTATGCAAACTTTTTGTACCTTGATTTTATTTTTTTTTTCAATGGTTGCATGGGTTTTCTTTGTGGATATTTATTGTGCCCAGTTGTTTTTGTTTTCTGTTTGTTTTCTGTTTTGTTCTTAAAAATTGTACCACTGGCATACTCTCATGATGATATTCTGAATTTTTACAATCCTATTAATGATGGAAAGTCCTAGAAGTAATATTCTGTATTGAGGAGTGTGTATATTTAACATTTGCAACATATTAGCAATTCATACCCCAACATATTAGCAGCAACTCTACTTTTCTTGAATCTGTACCTTTACCAGACCTTAAAATTTACTTTTCTCTATTATGATTTTTATCATTTTACAATGAGTGCAGATGTACAGCTTTTCATATGTATATTACATCTCTGTCTTCATTGTTCTGTGAAATTCTTTTTCATACATTAGATATGAATGTCCAAATTTCAAACTTTTCTCTGGATTGGTTAGCATTCTAAAAATGTCATCTTATTTTTTTTTCCTTTTAAAAAGAAAGGTTATTTTTTTTAAGATTGATTAATTGATTGATTGATTAAAGCATAAGAGAGAGAGCAAAAGCACAAGCTGGGGGAGAGGGAGAAGGAAAAGCAAGGTTCCCTGCTGAGCAGGGATCCCAGTGCGGGACTCGAATCTAGAACCCTGGGATCAGGACCTGAGCCAAAGTCAGAAACTTAACCAACTGAGCCACCTAGCCCCTAAAAATGTCATTTCTGAGGGTATTTTTTAGCTGGAATTTCTGGAAGAGGAACCTGCTAGCCCTTGCTGCCTCTTCAAGAGCTGTGTGTCCAGGGAATATTAAAGTTGACAACTTGCTGCCTGGTTGAGATGCCCTGTGATATTTCCCTTGGGGCAAAGGTTTTCTTAAGGGGTCATCTCTATAGATTTTACCAAAGGTTCCTGAACTTCATAAGATATCATAGTCAAAGGTCAGACCAAAGCTTACTAACTATAAAGAGTGAAATGCTCACAAATTTCTCTTGTTAAACCCAGTAATTACTTGGCAAAGGCTGAAGGAGGGGAATGATGGAGAGACAAGGGCAGGTACTCTGAATCAATATCCTTGTAATTCTAAGAATGTTCTGAGGTTCATCCAATCATTCTTTATTGAATCCCTACTATTTGTAGTTCGGCTACTGATTAATTTCTTGTGTGTATAAAATGTCTATTGAATAAAAAAAAACCTTTGTGTTTTTGCCTGTCAGGCACAGTGTGCCATGGATATATATTGAAACAAGAAGATACACTTAAAATTCTAAAGTGAAGAACCATCCTAGATGGATCTTATCTAAGCAGAGAGAGTTTGGGGGGAGGCTGGGGACCATCGGTGTGTGGGAAATGGGGTACAAATGATGTCTCTATCGTTCTGCTGATCCTGTGGACAAATTACTGGCAAGTGTTCAGTAACCTTTCAATATCTAGCTATAGTGTTACAGGCCGTCCTCTCATAACGTCCTCCAGCTCAACTCTGTGCATGTGGTTTCCCACAGTACTCAAAGGCGGAAAGGCATCCTGTGACTGCATTGGAGAAAATGATGGAGTCAAGTTTTGCCGGCCCCCAGTCATTCCCAGAGGTCCCTTCTCCTGACAGAGGAAACCAGTCTGTCAAACACCACAGGTACAGGTAGCTGCTCATGGTGGGCATGGGCACGTTTACACTGTGTATAAGGCTGGGCAACACGTGCCAACGGATGGCAACCTGGTTCGGGAGAGATGATTGTTCTTGCTCCCCCTATAGTTCTCCATGGAGTGGACGCTCAAGCAGCTCACAGCAAGTCAACCAAAGATAACAGCAGGCAGCAATGCCCCCGTAGGAAACCTGAAGGAACTAACAACACCCATCAAAGCTTCAGACACAGACCAGTGAAGGAAACAATTGCATTCTGAAAAGCTATTAAAAATATGATTTTTCCTAGCCTGCCTTATCACCGTCTGCAAATTTAATGACTAATTCTTCCCTAGGCAGTTGATGTGACATGCTGCAGGTCTTCCAACATGGTTCTTACACACACACAAAAAAAAAACTTTTCAGGGGGAGGAAGCTCAGCAGGTCTTCTTGGGTTTATAGGATCTGTCATCAATGGGGTGGCACTCTTTTGCAGGCTGACCATATGAATTGGCTCTCTGGGGGAGAAAGCCAAAAAATAAGGTTATCTTCCAAATGTCCTAACATTCTGAAGCCAAGCAAGGTCTTCAGTATCGTCAAGTCGCATGCTGCATTTCTTATACAGGAATCTGAAACTCCAAAAATGCACTCTTTGTTCTAAACCAAGTGCCAAAATGTGGAACTGATACTATGTTTATGCGCATCTGAATGTAATACTCTCAATCTTTGTGGAAGTGGTGCAGTGATTTAAGCATCCCTTTCTTAGGGAGAAGTACAGTATTTCTAAATTTTATAATTATATATATATATTTATATATATGAAAAGATCAAAATTCAAAGAAAAGGATAAGGTACAAAATAGTAGTTGTCACTTATTGTGGTGAGCATTGAGTAATGTATAGAATCATAGAATCTTTATGTTGTATCCTTGAAACTAACATACTTAAAACAAACAAACAAACCCAGTTGTTCCCAACAGTGACAGATAAATATTGCTGACCCTTGGTTTTCACATATCTAGGCAATGTTTTGAAAACGTCCATGACAGAAACATGCATTACACAAGGAAACTACCTTCTTCCTCTACTCTAAATGAATCCCCTAAAAAAAGGATTTCCTTGATGCTGGCCACATTTACTGGGAGCTTTTCAGTCTGTCTCAATACTAAACCTCATTATTGGATGATTTTTTTTTTCACATTCTACGTGAGTAGAGACTGAGATACCAAAAATTTGTTAAGTATTTTTTAATAGGTTTAAATATTTCCAACTTGGAATTGAAATATGTTTGGCTATTGGATTCTTGCTTTAGTTATGAACTATAAGCTTTGGTTTATATCAATTGAGGCATTTACAGATATTTCCCTGTTAAGAAAGCATTTTAGTTCCTGGATCTAATGGAAGTTATTTAATTAGGAAAATACGTCTAAGATTAATAGCCTTTTATAAGACGGATATTTTCTCCAAAACCACATTTTCTCCTGCTGATTGTAACACATGTTGAGGTGGTGTCCCATCCAGTCAGTCAAAATAATTCTGTATAATGTTACCCTAGGACTATATTATGCCATCAATATCTTAAAGTCAAAAATAAAAAAAGAATTGCAGTTTCTAATGTATTTAAGCTGCAAATACCCTACTACTCCTAGTTGGTTGACGTACCCCTGTCTTAATCTTGGCTTCAACTGGGTTTCCAGGAACCACTCACAAATTAAATAAGGGCGTCTTTAAGAGATCTGCCTTTCTGTTTGGTTCAATGACAATACAGTATTAGTTGGCATACATTGTGTCCCGATAGATAGGCAAGGGTTGATTTACAAAGCACTTTTAGAACTTTGTAAATTATAGTTTAATATATCATAGCTTTTGTTTTGTAAAACATGCAGTAGACTTAAATGTTTTCATGATTGATAACCTGGTCACTGATTTATATATCCTGCAAACTGCTCCATAACTTCCCGAATGCCACTGGGTTAGAAGGCTTGAATAGTTGATTGATCAATAGGCACAGAACTGTTTTGTTTTGTTTTTTAAGATAGGTCACTAGTTCATCCTGGAAGCTTTTGTGGTTGTGACAGTTTGGCCAGCTATGAATAATTAATTTCTCTTTGTGCACTGCAAACATGACTTATTTGGATAACTCATTATAACAAAGCTATGAATTCAAAGCCATTATTTCTCATGTGTAGTTCAAAGGGGGGAAAAATCCTCTTTCTTTTTAAAGAAAAATCTACTACGTCACACTTATTACATTACATTTTAGCAACATAACTCTCCTACAGACAGCACATATGTGGGGTTTTTAGAGTGAAATAAGACCAGGGTTGTCAGTGATTACCTGGAGCCTTTGAGTTGTCAGGTGTAGCGGAGGAACCAGGGCAACCCTACTACGTGCCAAGCTCCATGCATAATTTCTCTCTTTTAGCCCCATAGCCGTCCTATGAAAATACTTAACCATGATGCCAAGACTTTTCTTTGGCACCCCTCCTACTCATATTTAGTCTTTACCTTTTTTCTGCCTTGCCCTGTGCACTGAAAGAGAAGAAGGCTCTCTCTTTTCTGCTGTCAGTACAAGGCACGGGCAGGAGATGGAAGGCTGGGAGGAGACTGAAGTCCTGGCCTGTCTGCCCCCTCCCTCCCTGCTTGCCTCAGCTGTGTCCCTCATCCTTCTTCCTGGGGCCACGGTGCCTGACAGTGGTCCTTTCCTTACAACTCCCCTTCTCTCTCCATTCTAGTAGCTTCCCCCTCCCCTTGTCCCTTCAGATACAGGGATAGAAGCAGCTCCCTATTGTTACTTACCCTGACATACAGTAGTGCCCCATGCTGACTTTTTTTTTCCCCTCAAACACTGAAGACACCTTTGTAAATAGTATAATCTTCCCAGTGACCCAAATTAGAATACCATCTCTTTCCCTTCAGGACTCTGACTGATAGAAATACTTCCCCCAGTGTCATGCTGTTAGTAATGTACAGACCTGAGATGCACCCCCACATGCAGCTAATTCTAAGCCTGAGTACCCCCCACAGACTCCATAATAGCTCCTAAATAATACAGATAGAAGCTAGAAGGGAGGGGGGCGGGAATAGCTGTTAGAACTCTTTGAACTTGTTGCCTTGGTGACCTAACTAGAGGTCGCATGTTGTCAACATACGGGAAACATTATGATAAAGAAAAAGGTATAATATTGCAGCATATGACCTAGTGTTTGCACAAACTCAGGAAGTTAATGTTGGCTCGAAGAAGGTAAAATGTGATCGTTCACTTTGCCCAAACCAGGAACGTGTCTACTGACATGCAAATGTCAGGTTCTCAAACTCTGATCTTAAATAATATTTGAGATGTTTTGTTTTATATCTACTAAGCAGAAATAACAGTAATGTTGCCAGGGAGAAAGTTACTGAACTCCAAATAATGTAGTGATGTGGGTACAATTACTTTGGGAGACTGGTCCCTTTAGAACCTGGTAGGTCTGCTGAAATTCTGAAAATGTTTTTCCTCTTTCGCTGTATGGCTTCATTGGTATTTTTAGAGTTAAGGGAGAACAAAGCAAAAGATTCTAACTTCACCTGTTATCTGAACACTGCAGGGCAAGTTTGGTCACTTAAACCTGCATCCCATGGAAGGTCTACGTAAGAACAGAGTTCTCCTTACTGGTCCCCATGGCTGTAGGGTACATTCAGTGGGGTGGAGATGGAAATGGGTATGGAATAGTTAACAGGTCAAATTAGCAACTAATTATTATCATCTAGCCCTTTGGCTTAGCATATTCTATGTAGGAATCCCAATCTCAACTCAGATATATCCCATTTATGCCTTTTGCCCTCTGATGGCATCTGAAAACATACGGTTATTTGGGTATTTGGATGTTTGAGTCAAATAAAATATGCAATCAGATGTTTATGAAAAGTAAATTCAAATGGAAACCTATGTAGTTTCTCAAAGCTGATGAAAGTTTGAGATAGTGAACTGAGAATTTAGCACCTGTGTTAAGGAGAGAACGCCAACTCAAATGAGGTTTATTTATTCTACGCTAACATACGTGAACTCTTCTGCCACGAATCTCTTCAGAGTTTCTGTGTTTAGTTTTTATCAGTGTCTAATAACAAAGCTATTTTTAAAATTTTTATTAGAGAGATAACTCCTCTATCCTGAAAGATAAGGGTCACAGGGAATCAGGAACTTGGGAATCCTTAAGCCCACTTCTTATCTTTGGCTGGGAAGCTGCGATGGTTTCAGTCCATTGTGCTCCAAACTAGAGAGAGAGCCAGAAACATGGCAACTTCTCGGTCTCAGTACCTGCCTGCAAAGGTGAATGGATTCGACAACTTCTGGTCTCCTCCAAGCAGCTATTCTACGGTTAGGGATGGAGGGCCCAACCTAGAACGTTCAGTATCTGGAGTGAAAAGGCAGTGTTTGAAGTGTGAGCAGCCACATATAAGGTTCTTGCTAGGATCAATCTGTTGGTTTTCTTTCATCCCAGCAGGAGTCTCTCCTCTTGCTGCAGCCCAGGGCAAAGGAGTGGTATGCTCCATAGGAATACCTTCAGGAGAACACCCCCCTCGCCCCGAAGTAGGCTGGGTGGCATCGTGGGACCAGCGTATCAGCAACTTGAGGAATCCAGGATCCCAGACCAGGATACAATACCTTGTCAAGGGTAGGTCTTAAAAGCGATGGAATTTAGGGAGGGTGTCATTAATGCTCCAAGTTTAAATTGAGTTGTAATGTTCGTGGGGGTTTTGTTCATTGATTTTTGCCATTAATAGTCTGTTTATGCTTACTTCCATCTCTGTTCCACAAAAGGTAGACTAACTTAAAAGAATGGAGATAATGAAAATAGGCATTATGGAAATATTAGAAAAATAACACTAGAGAGTAAGTAAGTGTGTACTGTTATCTAGGCAGTATGTTATATGGTTGTTAAAGCTACTGGGAATTTGTCTTTTTTTTTTTTTTTTAGTTTCTTAAGAGGACTAATGTATTCCTTCATTCTTGGGTTTGAAAAGAAAATTACTCAATTTTCTAATCAACATTGTGGGCAATACCCTCCACAGTAACCTGTAATGTATTTATATATAGTATCTGCTTCTGTCCTGGGTGTTCTTGAACATGTCTAGTCAATGTTGACAGCATATTGTCAAAGTACAACTTGCTGAACTCAGATCTTCAGGTTCATTTATGGTGTAGGGGTGGAAAGATGGGCTTTGGACACCAGGGCTGCCGTTCATTCTTGCAGGACTTTCCTCCCACCAGACACAGACCCTCCTGGGCCCCATGGCATAGTGAGTGGAGTAAGATGAATTTTAGCCCCCATTCACCTAATTGGCATAAATTGGCCAGTCAAACATGGTAGCCCTTACTTCAGTGGACTGGATTTTAAATCTCATCTTTGAAAAAATTTTATCTTCTGAACTTAAATTTTCTCATGTGTAAATTAGGCAAAATAATACCACCTTCCTAAGGGTTGTTGGGCAGATTTTTAAAAATTATAAAATAAATTGTATTTATACAGGCTTGTACCTGACACGTAGTAAGCAGAGAAGTAGTCTGGAGGAACTGTTTACTGTCCCAGGAACTATTGTCACAGGAACTGTCAGAGAACTATTAATTTCAAAAGCAATGCGGTCAAGGTTTACTCCAGAAATTTCCAAAATCAGGTCCTTCATCCAAGCAAGGTTCTTGTTGCATCTGCTTTTTTATCACTCTGGATAAGGCGGGCCCAGTTCCTATGCTGCTTTGGCCTGGATGATCCTTCCAGACTGTACCAAACTGAGGGCCAAAGCAGATAGGAGACGTCTATCTCAGAGCCTTACCTTTCCCGTTTCTTCTTGGTAAGATATATTTACAGCAGTGCCTCCTCCTCTGACAAAACTCAGCAGTAGATTTTGTTAGAAAGACATTTGTAATTTTGAAGCAATTCCAAAAGGAGTGTAAAATACCTTTGGTACAGACCTGGGGTGACAGTTTGCAAATTCAACATAACAGCCAAGTTCTCCAAAACACATAATGCAAATCAAGAAGCAGTTTGCACTTCTCTTTGCCTTATATCTAGAAAAGGGGCTTGCATTTAGCCCCAAATTATAATTAATCATGTTTCATAATGACTTTCCTCTTAAATCACTAAGCATTGACCGTGATTCTTAAATCACTAATAATGTCTGTTACTTAGGAATATATATATGGGTGAGAATGAGTGAGGAGAAATCAAGTTCAGAGATTCTGTGAGTGGGGAGAGAACCCAGCCCATGCTCTCTTGTCATTGGTCACCGTTATGGAGCTTATCCCCGATGTCCCAGGTAGAGGATTGCTCTGAGCGCATGCCTGGCATAGGCTTGAACCACACGTACATGGATCTTCAGAGGCTCAGAGATTTCCATGCATGTTCAGGCACTGCTTTGTCTTTTACCTCCTGGGAGACTTACACTTACTGTCTGCATAGTGGTTTTGTTTTGATTCAATCATCATAGAGTTTGGAATATTCTCTCCAGCTGGCCGGCCACATGTATTTTCCTGTGTGTGATATGCATCCGATGTTGATAAATGGTGACTCTAAGTCACTGTGTGCTCAGCACAATGAATCTTGGGGAGCAATCTCATTCTCAGTTCTTGAAAACAGCTATTTTCCACTCCTGGGGGACTGACCGTCTCTCCGGACTAGAAATGGGATTGGTAATAGAATTTCTCAGCTAAAGGCCCTCTTCAAATCTGGCCCTAGCCCGGAGGGGGAGTGAATGAATTTACCAGAGCTATCAGGCATCTGCTGCTTGTTTATCAAGCGTGTGGGCGCTGTCTGCTAGTTAGGTTCCTGGTGTATATGACTTCCCTCCTTAGCACTTACTTCAGCCCGGCTTGAACCCAGCACGTATCGTAGGGAGGTCTGATGAAAGAATGAGGCGCAGAGGAGATTCTTCAGGAGCCTTATCCCGGATCGATGGGCCTGGGACAACCACAGGCTTACGGAGCTCTGAACTAGGTTTTGTCAGGCAAACCAAACCAACGTATTCATATGCTAGACACAAAGAGATGGGATCACAGAAGTCGACTGCCACCTTCAACATAGATGGGATCCGAACTGTACTGAACACCTACCTCACTTAGCTAGACTTAAGGGATCCTTGAGGAATTTTAAAAATGACTACACTAAGGATAGCAGAGTTGAAGTGGCTAACCTAAGGTGGCATAGCCCAAGTAAAAGAACTGAGATTGAATACTAGCCTTTCTGGATAAGGAACCACTAAGCTAGGAAAGAAATGTGAGGAAAATCACATTTGTGGATGATGATATATAAATGGAATCACTAAGGGTATGGCTCCCAGGAACAAATGGATTTCTTGTTTAGTCAGTTGATTCCAATGCTGTGCAACACCAGGAGCTGAGGCTGCAGAAACACGACAAATTCCTTGGCCTGACCCCTTAATCGCTGGGCACCAAACCAAGTGCCTTAACTGTTGGAATTTCTCATCTTGAGAAGGATGTTTTGGCTCCCATAGTTCTCAAATGAAATGCACCAGTGATTTCTTTGGTGAGAAATCAGAGGAAGGGCAACTCAAACGGGTGTTTTATAGTCAACAAATGACAAGTTCGAGCATCAAACTTGTGAGTCAGTGACTCTTAAGGGGACACAGAACTCTGAAGTGGCTTTGAATCCAGAACCACATTAGAAATTTAGCACTCGCTTAAATTTCTGGAGAATAGGATGTAGTAGCTTCTACTTAAATACCAGGGTTGGGACCCTCACAGCAACTCTGTGAAGGAAGAGAGGACTCTGGTTGAATCGCACAGAGGCATTACTGCAGTTCCTCCCCAGAGGAAACCCCCTAGGTCAGTATTCCCACCTGGCTGTTTTAATTAACGAAACATTTAAGTGAGGCTTCCATTTGTCTAAGATTCCAGTCCTTGTAATGGCAGTGAGACTTAAAAATCATGTCTGATATAAAACAAAGTCACATTTTGGAGAGTGATAATTGTTTGAGGTGCATTTCCATGTTCAGGTGACATTCTGGATTTGAGTTCCTGTCAGCCATGTGTCCCATACCTGTCAAGGTGACACATAAGTTGATTGAAATTCCTCTTTATCACTCAAGTCCACAATTCAGAAGACTGCCCCAGGTTTGGTTTGAATTGCCTGTGATTACTTCCTGGTCATCCACTGTCATCACGAAGCTACAATTTATTAAGTCTTCTGAGATATTTACACCTTTACCCAACAGTTTCATAAGGAATGTTTAGAGGCATGTGTAAGACTGTGCACTTGTCACCATCACATTTCATTCAACCTGTTAGAGTCTTTCCACTGATCCATGTGGAATACAATTTTAACCCATTTATATTTTTTGGCTCTGTGCCATTGGGGAACATGATAAACAGACACCCTGTATCTTCATACATATTAGTGACGCTAACAGGATGGTGCTGAGGACAGAGCACAAAGCCCTGATATCTGCCCCCCTTTTTTCTTGTTGAAATCAAGTCATTGATCAGAAACTTTAGGGTCAGATTTTCAGCCATAGAACACACTTAAGTGAAAGGAGTAAAATCCCGCAGGGAGTTTCCTTGCGCACAGCTATTCAATTAGATTGTAATTGTAAAAAAGATTATACAGCCCTAAAAAGGTGTTCTAGTGCACCGTGGGATGCCCACTCTTTTCTGGCTTTGACAGGAAGAATTACAATAAGACAATTTGGGATTAACTTGTTCCTCTGCTGCGTACCAAAGGTATAATTTGAGAGAAGTCAGTTGAGTGCCCCTTAATGTAGTTTATTCATCCACCGCATGGTAATAATAATAAATAAGCCACAGGTTTTTAAAAAATTAAATGAGGCAATTAGACATAAGCATGCTTTTTAAAAACATTTTGCAAATGTCAGCTGTTATTATTATGTTTGAAATGGACATTAACTGGGATGTAAAGGGAGCACTTACCTTGAAGATTTGTTCGTATAGTCATGCATCCGCTCGATCGGGATTTATTGACTGCCGATGCTGTACTAAGCACAGCTACAAAGACACCTAAATGTGAGCCTCATCTTTTCTCTCCATCTGGTGGAAAGACAGACCCCTGAGTTGCTCTGATTGTGTCCTTGAAATAAAGACTCCTATTTAGTATGCAAGACGGTTCATTGCAAGTATTCTTTCCATTTATGGACGTGATTGTTATTTACATCCTAATGCAAGATGAGGGGAAGAAGACCTATTAGATGGAGGGTGGATATGTTTAGATTGTGCTATATTATAATGGTTTAAATCAAACATTCAAATTAAGGACAGATCACTGAGAGGATAGAGACTCCTGTTCAAGACCCCAGACCACGTTGTTAGGAATCCACAGCACACCTGTCCCACCCTCTGATGCTGGGAAATTCACGAGCGCTGGCCAGGCAGTGGGAGGGCTAGCCAGATTTTGGCATGTTCCAATGACTTGGAATGGTACCGTGGTGGCTGTGCAGCAACAAACTACCTTTTTTTTTGGCTCCAGAAACCACTTGGGGGAAGTTGCCCTCTTGATTGAGCCCCAATGGACCTCACTTCGTGTTCCTTCCTGGGGAGGACTTGTAGGCGCCCCCGTTCCCATCTGTAGGCCCAGCAGCCTGGCAACGAGACGGTTTCTACAGAGTAGAGAGCTGATGAAAATTGCATTCGGTTCCCCCAAAGTCAGTGGGAAGCAGAAAAACTCAGGGGACGATAGCACCTTGATGCTTCGTGTCGGGCTTCCTTCCCAACGAGTGTGGCCGTGAGTCTACAGACTAAACCCCGGGCTGAGAGGGTGGTCACATGTATGGAATGAAGTAATGCCGTTATGGGTTTCCTGTTTGTCACTACGGAAGGGCCACACTTACCTGCTCAATCCCCATTTACTTTGTATTCTAGGATAGAGGTCAGGAAGACTATACCCCACCTGCCTATACAGCTGTGGTGTGTTGAAAGATCCCTGGACTTCAAGTAAGAAGATCTGGGTTTGAGTCTCAGTCTGTCACTTATTTTCTGTGTGACCTTGGGCAAGTCACTTCACCTCTCTGAGCTTCAGTTTACTTCTCTGTTTAACTGGGAGCGTATTATCCGTCTCATGGGGTTGCTGTGAGAATTCAGTGAGATGGTGCATGTGGAAGTGCTTTGTTGACTGACTATTGCTCGGGAGAAGCACAGCAGAAATATGTTAACACTGTGTTTCTTTTGTAGGTACTCTTCCGGTGGTTTAAAAACCCAACAAAACGCATCCATAAATATGCAACTGCCTTCAAGAGAGACAAGTTCCTATTTTAATAGCTTGGATCAAAAGGACCTGATGGGATACTCCTCCACGAGGGCCAGTTCCGTGCCCATCATCCCTTCGGTGGGTCTAGAGGAAACCTGCATGCAAATGCCAGGGATTTCTGAAGTCAAAAGCATCAAATGGTACAAAAACTCCTACTCTGCTGATATTGTCAATGTGAGTATTCCAGTCGGCGATTGTCTTATAGCAGAACAACAAGAAGTGAAAATATTGCTAGAAACTGTCCAGGAGCAGATCCGAATTCTGACTGATGCCAGGCGGTCAGAGGACTATGAACTGGCCAGCGTAGAAACCGAGGACAGTGCAAGTGAAAACACAGCCTTTCTCCCCCTGAGTCCCACGGCCAAATCAGAACGAGAGGCACAATTTGTCTTAAGAAATGAAATACAAAGAGACTCCGCATTGACCAAGTGACTTGAGATGGAGGAATGTGTGCATTCTATGCTTTGCTCAACAGGAAAAGAGGGGAAATTAAATACAAATTATTTATATGCATTAATTTAAGAGCATCTACTTAGAAGAAACCAAATAGTCTATCGCCCTCATATCATACTGTTTTTTAACAAAATATTTTTTTAAAGGGAAAGAAACGTTTCAGGAGGGATAAAGCTTGCAACTAAAGCTTTTGGGTAGAATTCTGATTACAATTTCACTTAGTCCCAACACTGGCCTCTTTGGCCCTTAGTAGATGTGGGTGATTCGGACCCTCAGCCCCACCGCACCAGTGTCATCATAAAAAAGCACTGGTTACCCGGTTTCCAAGAGATAAGCTGTATCCTGAGGGTGGACGTGCCAGTGACCTGGTGGCCCTTGGCCACTGGGCTCGCCGGTCCCAACCCCTGAATTTCTATTCACTCGACAGCCTCATCACAGGTTATGTCATGTCAACCAACGTAGTGTTTTCTATTTCATTTTTGAAGAACGGCACAGAGACTCTGGAAGGGGGAGGACAGGAGATCGGAAGAGTAATTGGGGGCAATCTTAGCTACTCTTATGTGCCAGCTTCCTCTGAAATTTGAAGGCACAGAATCTCAGAGGGAGGTGCAAAAGAAATTATTATAGAAAAAGAGATGAGAAAAAAAAATCACCATGTCGTGTCACTAAAATCATGCGAATAGAAGTGTTTTTCTTTGAGATTGTGTAGGGGCTCCAAAGGAGCACCTCTCGATGTGTGCGTGCCTGTGTGTGTGTGTGTGTGTGTGTGTGCGCGCGTGTGCGTGCGCGCACAAACGTGCGTCTGTATGGGCTTGCTCACTTGAGCATAGGTATGCTGTATGCACATGTGTTCATTGTGTGTATGTGTGTGCATGTGTGTGCATATTAAGCTTGCTAAAATTTGTTCTGGAACATCAGGGAATTTAATATTCAGAAAAAAAATTTCCCTCTCAGATCTGTTCACTTTAAATTTATCCATTAAGTATAAAGTTCAGTTAGTCAGTTCTTAAACCAAGGTCACTTGCATGGCGGGGTCCTATAAAATTCTTGACTATGTCAAGATAATTTTCTGGTGTGAATACTTTTGAGAGGAAAACTATTGGCTCATTAATGGTATCAGTATCACAAGGCGAGTTGAGGATGTGTGTTTAATTTGAATCACGCGTACTTCAGTTATTTACACAAGCCAATTATCAAATTGACAGTTACCCTTTGCTTTCTCGTCATCCTCTTGACTATTTATTTTGTAGCAAGTCTACTATTTGTGGACCAAGACATTAGCTTCTGTGGTTAATAATGGAAAGAATAAATTGTTGAAATCACAAAGCCCAGACTTTTCAGTTCACAGGAAGCCCCCAAAAGAACAGTAAATTGTGTTGTATGTTCATTTGGAATAAAGCAATATTTTTACCACTGCTAAGGTGAACTGAAACTTCTCCTGAAGATTTGTCTGTTTTATTTACCCTTATTTTCATGGGGCATTCAAGGAAATTAGTGTTCACATAACCAGTCTTTTTCCAATTATTGGTGGTGTTGAGTTGTTATGTTTACACTGTTTTAAATAAAAAGGCACAGTATTTGAAAGTATATAAAAGATTTCTTTTACTGCAGTCCGGGAAGACTTTGGTTAAAATTTCCTTGTGGAAGATTCACATTACGTTGAAAGGGAATGTAACCATTTCTGAATCAAATATTGAATATATACAATTCTTATTTGAGGCTAAGTTGTTTCTGTTGAAAATACATTGTAAATTGCTTTTCGAGAACATTCTTTAACAATAGACATAACGTCATGCAGGGGGAGGAAAACATTGTGTTCTTATCGCACTGTGTAGTGGCACTTCAAGGTCTCCGATGTTGAAAACACTTTAGTAGAAATGCATTTTATATTTAACAAAAGGTTTTTGGTATTCATTAATTGTCCTATTACTCTTGCATTACTTTGAATACAGAGGTAATGTTGTTAGACTCTTAAAAGATTATCACAAATTTTTGATTTCTAGACCATCTAGGCTCCCATTTAAAAATATTGTATCTTTGGGAATATTTCAGAAAGATGGTCTTCATGGACAAGGATATAAGACCCCCAGAAGTTGCATATCCGATTATGTTATCGTGTTGAAATTTATCACTGTTACCAGACAGTAACTGGAAGGCCTCATCAGGCCATTGAACTCAACCTTGCTTCTTGGGTTTTTCACCAAAAGGTTGCCTGTTGCATATCGAAAGGATTCATACAGATTTCACCTAATTAGGAGGTGATAATTAGGTGATCGCAGCAGTTATTTTAATATATTAGTTACTCTGAAAAATTGAATATCGTCAAACTTGAGTCCTGATGCAACCCCTATTTTTTAAAATAAAGTAGAGCCATATATTATGTGATTATAAACACCCTTGTTTATCCTGAAGAGCATGAATTGGGCATATCCACCGACAGTCTGATGTCAAGTTGAGAGATATAGTTACTTCCTAATTGATAAACAAGACAAAATCTTCCATACAGAACAGATATTAATGGTTAGTTCAGTGGTCATTTGTGTCCTCTTGGAATATGAAGCTCTCCTCTGAAAAGGGCCCAAGCTCAAAATGCACATCTTTGGGCACCAGCTGACAAGTGCTGATAGCATCAAAACTTTCCAAGTTGATCTAACATGGCAAACACCTGGAACCATCGGTACTTTGTCCTTCAAGCTCGTGTGCCTACAGAGAGGTGCTTATTTCTATAAAACGCCTTTGGTTTTGCTTCATTTTCCTTGTCTTTATTATGTGAATAGATATTTGGAGATTTGTAATTAAGTAAGTTGCATATTAGTTATTTACTGAAGAATGAATGTCACTCATTAGTTTTTTACTCGGAATCGTTTTCTGATTAGTCTTTTTATTCTAATAAAGCATATATTATTCTAAGTTACTATGGAACACTGTTCAAAATATATGACCAATTTCATGCTAATGAGAAATAATAGAAATGATGTTGGAGAATTGGCATCCAAATTTTCTGATTTTCCTACGTACGTTATTAAACGTTCTCTGTTTTATACTCTAATCCAATATATACCTTGCTATGGGCTAAGGACTGAATATTTGTAAACTTATCACCTCTCCAGTGATTCACATCATTTCTAAGTAGCAATACTAAGGTCTTCTGGAGGAGGAAAAATGCTGATTCTAGGATTTCACAGATTAATCTCTTTTGATAATAATAGCATATCAGACCTACCAAAAAGAGAAAAGTAAGGCCAAGCAGACTTGGAGAGAATGCCCATTGGCTTCCGGATTGAAAGACAGCTACAATTTAAGTGAGGCCTCTGGCGACCATGGCGAAGGCTGTCAATAACCATGTTTCCACCAGAATATGTTTGATGTGTGCAGCAGTCATGCGCATCCATCTGCTGTATGGTGCTATAGGAAACCAGGGCTCCCTAAGTGAGGGGAGATGCTGGTTCCTTTGATCCCAGTCCTGTAAGCCAGAAAATATCGCCCTGAGACAAGTGCTGTGAAACATTTCCCAAATGAGTATATACTATACTTAGGAACACAGCAGGAAGGGTGGGATTTTTATTTGATCTTTTGGTATCCGGGAAACATTTTCTATATAAAGAATACTTTTTTATTATTATTCAATTGTATAGATTCAGTACAGTGTATTCAATGATAGCATATCTCTACTGTGTTTGTACCTTAGTCTTCAGAAATTCAGTCTTCATCCAGGAAAGATCAGCACAATGTTTCTGGGCTGTTCTCAATTTTAGACACGTCCCAATATGTTGTGGGAAATGATGCCTTTAAATAAGCTTTATCTCTTCCTCTTTTATTTTTTCTTTCCCCTTTAAAGAAATAGTGAGGGTAAAGCAAGAATTTTGTTCCTTAAGATCCACCTTGTTTTCTTATAATTATCTGTTTTCTACTGTGACTCCACACACACATACACCTATATACATATCTGAGCATATACGTATATATGAAACATACATAAAATATATAAAAATATATAAAATATATACGTATATTAAATTTAGGTGTTTGATTATTTTGTTAGCTTTATTTTTGCTTAATTTGACAAGTCTTAAAGTGAATGCCAATGAAAGCAAATCATTTAGACATCAGCCAAACTGGCAATGTTAAGGTAACACAACCATTTTTCAGTTCTTTCTTTTTCTTAGGTAAGCAGAAATATCCCAGGGTTGGAAAATTCACAAGACCCTGGAATAAAATCTCTACTAGATTATCTCTTAGACATGAAGATTAAACTATGGCTGTATATGATTGCTATATACTGCTATAGCATATAATGGTCTCAGATATAGTTTTTCCAAATATAGACACAGGCTTCAAGTGCCCACAGGCTCTAAGGAAGAATTGAGGTAAAGACAGAGTGGTGGTGGTGGGGGGATATTACATTTTAATATTGGATACTCCAGTGACAATGTGCAGATGATAGCAAAGGCAACCATATACCATCTTGATGGAATAGAGAACAGGCTTCTAGTACTTTGAAAACTTTTTTGTCATAAATATTGATTGCACGGGTATTGTTGCCTATGAAATAATTAATTGTATGATAGCAAACAATTCATGTTGAAAGTCATCTTTGTGAAAGCTCGTGACTTACCTTTACATACTAGTAGCTCCATGACTTCATCTGTCAGATAAGGAAGATGATCTAGTCCATCTTCAATTTCCTTCCTTCCTTCCAGACTAACACCCTGTTACCCAATCATTCTAACTCAGACTTTACCTGGTCATTTGTCATCCAATCATTCCATGACCCCTTGGAAAGTTAGTAGCTATGTCTTGTAAGACTCAACAATTACTGGAAATTGTACATCAATCCACATATATCTATATATTATATTTATGATGTTTCATTTAATTTCCATAGAGAAATAGACAAGATCACTTTTGTCATTTTTAAAGTAAATTCCCCTAGGACAGGTAATAAAGAAGAAAGGATGGCCAAGAAAATACCTAATGCCAAAGCTTGAGCATCAAAATGCACTCCAGATTTTTGGATTGAAATTTGTTGCAGATATTTTTTTAAGTGTATCCTTTATGAATCTTTATCAAAGCCAGAGTAAGTTCTTCTGAGAAGGCATGATACCTTGAAAATCTCCCTCACAATGACACTGTCTCACTGGATACACCGGATATTTCTTGAAAATTCTCAATTATTTGCATATCAAACTCCTTAACACAAAACCTTCAACTTTATAGTGAATAAAAGCTGAGGACCCTTTTCACATCATAGTTGGAACTAATCCTGTCCAGTGTGGGGCACAATAGACAACAACAACAAAAAAAAATTGCAGGGTTTACTTATTTAATTTTGGTTTTAATTGCTGTTTCTGACGAATCACTATCTAATTGCTCTTCCAATAGCATCCTGACTAGCACTAACCAGTTCTTCCATATAATTTTTATTTTTTTTCATATAATTTTTCTTGATTAAGATCCCAAAGTCTGAATTCCTTAGTCTTCAATGAAACAAAGCAGAATGTTAAAACTGGTGAATGAAAACGGTAAATCTCTTTATGTTATGTTGTGTTTTTAAAGTTATAAGGATTCCATGTAGTTGTTTACAAAATTAAAATAGAAAAAATGCACATTTTTACACTTTTTTTGATGTATTGAGAGGTCTGATGACCCATTCACACAGCCTTGTTCCACTTTACGTTGATACTTGATACTATCTGAATTCAACTTAAGTTGAAGATCTTAAACAATCACACACACACACACACACACACACACACACACTCTCTACATGTTAAAATTCAAAGTTATCCTCCTTTTCTTTAGAGTTTTCTCTTACAGCTCACCTAAATGTGTCCAAATTCTTGTGATGTGGATGACCTTGGATTCAGATATATTTCATGTGAAATGCAGACAGCAAAACATCTAATGATTCTATTTTATTTTATTTTATTTTATTTTGTTTTGTTTTGTTTTGGTTTGTTTTGGTTTAGTTTAGTTTAGTTTTAGTGACTCTCTTTTAATGTTTGTTAGATACAGCCTGCTTTGGAATCCTGTCTGTGTCAAAAAACAAAAACAAAAGTCTTGAGAATAGATGCATTTGTTCAAACTGAAATAAATGGAAGAACATATCACTCACCTTAAAATCACTATACACTTACCAGTGGGCACTGTGTATTATTTTAAAGATAAGCCAAGGGAAATACCTTGACTCCCTCTTATTTTTGCAAGTATGCCACTGTACACGTTAAATCTAAATGAAAACTGAATTCCCTAGTTCTTCATAATTAATATATTTCATTAACTCATTTGGCCATATTTTAAATAAAGAATGTAAGTCACACAGAAGAATACACGAATGGTCAGCAGAATATCTTTAGTTATTTAAAAATATATTCTTTTTTAAACACTATTTTTTAGACACTCTTTTGTGCCTGTGATAGTAATTTTGTCTCAAGGAGTGTATGTGTTTCTCCTTCTAAGAAAATATTTCAAAACACTGCTCTCTACTCATGGAGTAGATATGAAGGCCATGGCAAATAATACTAGCTGTTTGTCCCTTGGCATCCCTGTAAAGTTCGGTTACATTATGTAGCACT